AAAAAAAAAAAACAACTATTTTCCTTGGAGCAGCCAAAGTTGCATTTAAGGAATAAAATGAAATCCCATCATTCCTCTGCTTAAGTGCTTCTGAATTCTAAAGACTTCACATCACCCTGAGAAAAACACTTTTCCTGGTTTATAAAGCCTTCCATGTCCTGGTACTGTTTCCTCTGTGACCCCATTTGATACTATTCTTCCTTCATGCTCGACCTTCAATACTCCCAACTCACTGCACTTCCTTTTTCCTCATCAGATCAAGGTTGAACCCATTGTGCGGCCACTGCACTTGCCAGTCCCTTTGAAACACTCTTTGCCTTCACACTGGCATAGCTGAGTCCCAGTCATTCAGATAGAACTTGAATGGTCATTTCCTCCAAGGAGCCTTTTCTGGCCAGAGGTGAGGGCAACCACTGGCTCTTTTAAACCCAGCAGATCACACACCAACTAACTTTTCTGTTTGATTATTAATTCATTTATTTTCTAGCCTAATAAGCTGAACTCTAAGTTTCATGAGAACTTTGGTCTTCTTTAAACCTTATTACCATTCTAACTACTTCAGTGTTTGGACTAATGTTTGCTGTTTAGACTAGTGTGGAAAGCAGTCAATTAATTTTTAAGTAAATGAATGAGTGAGTGAATATTTTAAGAGCCACAGTATATTTTCAATTAAAAAGTAAACTTTTGGATGATGATAGCTGATGAAACCAAAGGTCTCCTCAAAAAGGCAAGGTTGCTTTTTAACATGATACCAGCATGTTAACTGTTACCTTAACAATTTTTGCTTTATTTTTTTCTTACAATGTTCTGTTTATTTCTTTTGCCATGGCACTCCAAAACTAATTCTATGTCCTAATATCTATTTGGTCTTTCCCCATACTGAACAGGTAAGCTCTAGGTGTGAAGTCATTTTTCTCTGTTGCTTATAACTGAGTTCACAATCTAGGACACTAACTTTAACACAGAGACTCTCAAAAATTTTTGTTTAATGACTGAAGATAAAAGGTTGAGTTGCAAGTGGCTGATTCAGGTACTTACAATTTTCTGTGAAGAAACAAAAGCACTATTACCTAGAAGTAATGGGCCACCTATTCTCAGTAAATATTTTTGCTCATGGATCTCATGATATGTTCCTATGTAACTTAAATACCTTTAGACCTTGTATAAACCATTACAAACATTTTGCCTTAGTTTTTGTTCCCTTAAAAATGGGAATTCAAAGAAATAAACACACCAATTAGAATTATCTTTTTAGAGCAAGTGTAATTCGAGAGTTTAATAATCACTACCAACTGATTATCATCCAGGGGTAAGCAAGCACAAAGGACGAACTGAGAAGGCTGGAAGGAAACATCTGAGAGGCAATTTCCGTGCTGCTTAGGATAGGACTTCTGTTGTTTTATTGAACTTCTTGAAAAAAACCTCTAAAGTCTGGGGAAAGGCTTATGGGAAGCAAAAGCAAACTTTTGAAGCTCATAGGTCTAAGGAGAATTTAATAAAATACAAGTTTTTATTTTAACTTGGGGAAATTAAGTTGAACAAAAGTGCAATGAGCCATAGTTAAACCAATTAATTAAGCAGGTTTTGATATGTATATAACTGCCTTGCTGAAGAATTAAAAATAAATCCAAGATTTTAAACCATTGTTTGGTATTCAACAGAACATGAAATGACAACATGCAGAAAACTGTTTTTTAGAGGCGTTCTTTGCTGAACTCCCTCCTCATTCATATGCACCACCTTTCTTTTTTCCATTAATCTTAAGAGAACCCTATGCTTTCAATAACATACAAAAGCCTATTCTTTGCTTGATTCCCTTCTGCATTTTTTAATGCCAATTTCAAATGTAATTTTCTTGCAACCTCAATTACAAAAAATATTTAGTTTTCAGTAGCGTGTCTACTATTTTTCAGGACGTGATGAAGATTAACTTGCTAAACGTACCTGCAGCCTGGCAGGTGTGAGGCAGAATGGGTGAGGGGAGAAGACCACAGGCCAGGGAGTCACCCAGATGGGGTTTCAATTCTAAACTTAGTGCTTTAAGAGTCATGAGACCCAGTGTCTGTAAGCCTCAGTTTTCTCCACTGTAAACATGTTATACAAGTTAAATATATGTGAAAATTCCTTGGCACAATGTCTGGCAGAGAAACCTCTAATATTAATACTGTCAAGCAGTTCATAACTTGCGGATGTGTTTTGATTGCCAAAATTGCTTGCCTGAAATTTTAACATGTATTTCCACCAAAAAATATTTAAAAATAAATAATGAAATGGTTAGTGTCAGGTAGGTCTGTAGACGAATGTCCCAAACCATCATTTAAAATAACATTATTTCTGTTGAGAACTGTCCTAATAGTACTCTGGCTGGGGTGGCTGACTTTTCTGGATGTTCCCTGGTTTTAGCACTCAGAGTCCCTCATCCCAGGAAACCCTTCATTCCCAGACAAACCTTACCACGATGCTTTCATTTGGAACCTGAGCATCATGCATTCATTCACCCATTTTTCTGCAGTGCCCACTACATTCTTAGGCTCTGGAGATACAAGGACAAATTGTCCTTAATAAACCCAGAACCTAGCAAAGGAGACAGACAGAGGGACAAGTACCCGCAAGCCCTATGCTAAGTGCTAAGTGGTTTGCCCAGGATGCTGGGGAACCAAAGGGGCTGGGCATCTCATGTGGGCTGGCGGTTCGGGGAGACTTCTCAGAAGAGGTAACCCCCAAACTGGAACTTCAACTAGGTACACACCCCAAACCAGGGCTTCCTGCTTTATTCTTCTGGGTGTTTTTTTCATGTCTGAGCTCAATATTACTATAATCTAAAAAGCCATCATTTTAGATTCACTATGTTATCCAAACAGATTTTGAATAACTTCTGATATGCATATATTTTTATGGCATGTCATCAATTTATGAGTGTAAAGATCACATAGCCTTGATTTTATAGCAGTTCTTCCCATTCTGGAGATACAGCTAAGTTAAATCTAATTTTAAGGCTGCTATTCACCTGCTTGCTATTTCATTATTTGACATTCATTGCACAAAAGAAATTGGAACAACATGTTAAACTGAAAATAAAACAGAAGTTATTGTTCTAGTCACAATATTGTTGTGGTTGCCCCAAAGTTAGCCAGTTATACATGTTTCCTAAAGCTTGTTTTCAAGAAATTGGCATTCCATTTTTTATACTTCAATAAGTTAAAGTATTCCTGAATATATCTCTCTATCATTACAGCAGATGCTGCAGCAAGATATGATAAGACAGATTTCTTATGCAACACAAAGCTCAGATGCAACATGCACTAAGCTTTCTGTTCTTCACCTAAGACTCAGTTCTCTACCTGGAGGAAGAAATGTATTTTTCAAAGACTCTGAAGGTGAGAGGAGACTTATTCCCAGAGAGACTGTAAACTTCATGGGGGTAGCGGAGGGAGGGTGGCAGAGACCACATCTATATTATTCACTGCTGCTTTCCCAGAGACTGGGGCATAGTTGATATACAAAACGATTGAGTAAATAACAAGATATATTTAATAGTCTTCACTCTATTTCCAGCAAATGATAATTCGGTCACCAAAAAACTCAAGGGACTGAAAACTCTGCTATACTCATGAAAATCAGTAAACCTCTTTGACACCAGCAAAGTGATGCAGCTTAAGGTTCAAAGTCAGTCAGCAAACACAACACAGGTCAAAACCACACGTGTAGAGGCCAATCAGTGTTACTTTGTTCCTTGGCCTTACACTACACCACTAAGCTTGGCTAGGAACCCTGGAGATGTTTATGGAATTTAATAAGAATGTGCATGTGATTATGAACAAACCATCCTTGTTATAGTAAAGACACGATACTATACTTTTGAAGAATATGGACTATTAGATTCATCAGTCACAACCATCATCTATCTTAATCTTAAGCCCCATAGAGGTAAGAAGTATATGTCAGATAATTACCTTGTTGACTACAAAGATTCTTGGTAATTTTGAGCAATCAAAGGAACATACTAAAATTCCCACTTCTGAGGTTTTTTATTACATTTTGGCTATGTTTTTTTTTTTTTTACACATATACACTTGTTCATGCATACCTAATCAACACACATAACACATCTGAAGTTCAGTGGAAGAGTAGAAGCAACAAGTCTTTGTAAAATTTTAAAATTTTTTGTATTCTTTTTTACCTTTGAAGTTTACTACACCAACTGCAGTTGAAACCAATCTGAGAGGACACGCAAGGGCCACAGCCATTGAACTGGAGACATGCTAGGGAACAGGAGAGAATAGATTTATGGAGAGTAACTGGCAGCATGGAGAGAAAGAAAAGATTGCTTAACCAAAATTAAAATCACCCACTATCCCCACATAATTGCATAAACCCATGCATAAACAGATCAGATCATCCAACTTGTCAATAATTTCTTCACGTAGCTATGTTCATATATTAACATGAACTTACTAGGTAATGGGGTCATTTCCACAGCTGAAATATTAGTAATCTTTGACATTTGTAGCTCTACTCGGTGGTATTCATAAATTGTTCTTCTTCGAACATCTGTGAAAACAAAAATGGAAAAAAAATTAAACTTTTGGCATTTTTTTCACCTACAAAACAAGAGCATTAATAAGTGATTGCAGAATTACATACTGTTCACCTAATGCTACTTTAAAGATATAAAATAATTAATCACTTTGAAGAGATTATTTAAAACCTGAAAATCATGTATTCATGCACTCAGGAGCCTTTTTGTCAGTCAGGTTGAGAATGTTGATTTGGTTCTCATATATCTCACTTTGCTAGCAGGCGCTACCTGCTGTCACCCATAATACACTTAAAGTCATTTTCTCGATAGATTTATGTATTTTGAAAGATTTTTGACATACGAAATCAAGAAGGTGAGAAGACACCATTTCTCTGAAACTAAAGCTGAAATGAGTCTTTTATGAATGGATAGAAATTAAAAATTTTTCACAGCCTAAATGAAGCTGGTTTTTGCCAGAATAAGAGTCTGATTGCTTTGAAGACATGGAAAAAATTCCTCTAGTAAAAGTAAAACAGAACTGAAGTCACTAAACAAATCAGTATTATTATTTATTAAATAGACAGTATCATACCTAAGGAAGGTTAATAATTAGCACTTACATTGCATGCAGGAAGAATATAATAATTTATCAGCAAACCCAGCAGTGACCCTGAGGAATAGGCTAGATATAGACTTTGACAAGAACTTCAATAATTAGGTCAGATAAATATAACAAAACATATTTTTTAACAAGACTGTTGATGAAATATATTTAAAATACCCTTTTAAAAAAAAGACCTGAGCCTTATACTAATGAGTGTGCCTGAATCTGATTAGCATGAATGGAAAAGTAATGTTATCAGAATTTGATTTACCTCCTGGAATGTTTATTTAAGGACAGGAATGAATTTCCTGAATACTATCAGATCTATTAGGAATTATTTGGGAAGTATAAGTTATTTTAAAAATATCATAGCATCCAATCTTGGGAAATCATATGTCATAGTGGCTATTAATAAATGCTCTTAGACAGTCTGGTTCAAATCCCAGTCTTGATGTTTGGTGTCTGGGTGACCTTGGGCTCCTTTGATAGCTGCTGTGCCTCAGCTTCCTCATCTCTAAAATGGGGATAATACAGCTATATCCTTGAGTTGTTTTGAGAATTAAAATGAGATAATACATGAAAATTGCTTAGAACTATCTTTTTCAGATGGCAAGTGCTTAATAATGTCAGATATAGTATTTGTTTAACTGCAGAATGGCAATCAAAGATCACACTGGTTATGTGCTACATAAAATGATCTAATTTCTGCAGATCTAAACCTACTGAAATCACACTAAGGCCCTGGAATCAGGCTTCTAGGAATTTGTGTCCTGTCTTGTCAAAACAGAAGTTAAATCTTGACTAAAGTCAGTTGACCCAACAAAAACCAAACTTTTGAAGAGTTTTTAATGCTAAATCACTCAGATGTTTGGCACTTAAGTGAGGCAAAAACCCTATATTTTCAAGAAACTAAACTTTCTATAGCAAAATGCAATTGGAAAAGTTAATATGTGGACATGTTTATAAAATAGAAATAGTTAAAAACAGAGATATTCTCTCTGTAGTAGGGAAGTGTAAGATGAAATAGAAATACTCTAATGTAATAGAGAAAAAGTAAGAAATAACTAAGGTACTGAAGTATAAACTTGAAGACAAATATGAAAGAGAAAAGTGGAATATCTAATCTATAAAGTCATAGTTTAAAACAAACAAGATAGAACTTGACAGAAACGTTCAGACTGGATCATTTTTGAGAACCTGTTTGGCTTCTTTCCTGTGCCTTCCACAGTAAGGAAGCTACAGACTGCAGTTTTGCAAAGATGGGCTTTTGATTCACTATTTTGAATAAAACAGTAGTACATTAAATTTGGTTTTCTCTCCTTTAAGCCTATAAATCATCCTAATAGCCACCGTCTATATTTATGAGATAAATGTTTAAGTGTTTTGACTTTTTAATGATGTACTTAATCACCTTTCTGTGACTTTTAGGATTTTATATTAGAAATTGAAGAATTCAAACATTATTAAATAAACTGAGAGACATATCTCTAAATCTGTAAAAAATTTACTTTACCAGAGATTGGTATAGAATAAAAAGTCAATGAATGAGTGAATGAATGAATGGATAAATAGAAATAAAAGAAAACAATTTTAACACAAGTCCCTAAAGGAATTATTTTTTATTCATAGGGATTCTAAAACATTCTCAAATATGTTAAAATTAATAATCAGTAATTTCTACTATCCAGAACAGTTTAAAACTTTTTTCCTCTTTAAAAAAAATCATGTTGAAGTCAATGCCCACACGTTAATTAAATCAAAGAGGAGATATCAGAAATGTATGTATTAGGAGGTGAGATCAAGATGGTAGAGTAGGTTACTATTCAGAATTAAAGGGGAGAAAAAGAGTTTCTCATACAAAGAAATATTAAAGGGGAAATATTAAATATGAAAGGAGTAAATATTAAAGGACACTAAACTGGCCTTAAAAAATATTAAAGGGACTTCTTTAAGTAGAAAAGAAAAGGCTATAATTGGAAGTAAGAAAATTATGAGCAAAAAAGTCTTCCTGGTAAAGCAAACATATAGTAAAGGTAGTGGAAAAACTACTTATAAAGCTATTATGAAATTTAAAAGACAAAAGTAAGAAAATGAAATATATCTATAGTAATTAATTAAAGGACACACAAAATAAAAAGATGAAAATAGGATATCAAAAATATAAAACATGGAGGGGGGAGTAAAAATGTAGTGCTTTTGGAATGTGGTTCAAACGTAAGTGACCATCAATATAAAACAGACTGCCAGATACATGAGGTCATGTATGAACCTCATGAGAACCACAAACCAAGAGCCTATAGTAAATACACAAGAAAACAACGAGAAAGGAATACAAAGAGAACACTCAAGAAAGGCATCAAATTATAAGGGAAGAGAGCAAGAGAAGAAGAAAGGAACAGAGAAAGATGACAAAAACAGCCAGAAAACAATGAACAAAATGGGAGTAAGTACATACTTATCAATAATTACTTGAAATGTAAATGGACAAAATGTTCCACCCAAAAGGTACACGTTAACCTGTGAAAAAGACAAGCCCCAAACACTGCCTACAAGAAACTCACTTCATTTCTAAATACACACAAAGACTGAAAGTGCAGGGATGAAAAAATATATCCTGTACAAATGGACTCAAAAAGGAAGGTGGGGTGGCAACATTTTTATCAGACAAAATAGACTTTAAGACAAAGCCTGTAGCAAGAGACAAAGAAGGACATTACATAATGATTAAGGGATTAATCCAGGAGAAGGAAATCACAATTGTAAATATCTATATACCCAACCTGGGAGCACTTAAATATATAAAGCAAATAATAACAGACATAATGGGAGAAACTGACAGTAATACAATCATAGTAGAAGACTTCAACACCTCACTTACATCAATGGATAGATCATCCAGGCAGGAAATCCAATAGGAAAACTGGCCTTAAATAACACGTTAGACAAGATGGACTCTGATGGTATATATATATATATATATATATATATATATATAACATTCCACCTCAAAACAGCAGAAAACACAGTCTTTTCAAGTGCATATGGAATATTTTCCAGGACAGGTCACATGCTAGGCCATAAAACAAGTCTCAATAAATTGAAGATTGAAATCAAGCATCTTTTCCAACTGCAGTGATATGAAACTAAAAATCAATTACAAGAAAAAAAAAGGAAAAAGCACAAACACATAGACACTAAACAACATGCTACTAAACAATCAGTGGGTTGAAGAAATCACAACCACAATGAGATATCACCTCATACCTGTCAGCATGGTTATTATCAAAAAGACAATAAAAAACGTGTTGGTGAGGATGTGGGGAAAAGGAAATCCTAGCACACTCTTGGGAATATAAATTTCTGCAGCCAAAGGAAAACAGTGTAGAGGTTCTGCAAAAAATTAAAAATAGAACTACCATATAACTCAGCAATTCTACTTTTGGGTATTTATGTATTTACGTGAAGAAAACAAAAACACTAATTCAAAAAGATATGTGCACTCCTATGTTCATCACAGCATCATTTACAATAGCCAAGGTAATATAAGCAACCTAAGTGTCCATTGATAGATTAATGCATAAAGAAAACATGGTGGTGTATCCATATATATATAATGGAATATTACTCAGCCATAAAAAGAATGAACTCTTGCCATTTGCAACAACATGGATGGACCTAGGGTATTATGCTAAGTGAGTTAAATCAGACAAAGACAAATACCAGCATGCTTTCACTTACGTGGAATCTAAAAAACAAAACAAATGAACAAACAAAACAGACATAGATTCATAGATATAGAGAACAAACACAATTGTCAGAAGGGAAGAGGTTTGGGGAATGGGTGAAATGGGTGAGGGGGATTGAGAGGTACAAATATCCAGTTATAAAATAAATAAGTTACAGGGATGAAAAGTATAGCATAGGGAATATAGTCAATAATATTGTAATAACTTTGCATGGTGACAGATGGTAACTAGACTTACCATGGTGAGCATTTAAAAATGTATATGTCAAATCACTATATTGTACACATTAAGCCAACTATACTTCAGTAAAAAATGTAAGTATTAAAACAATAAAATACCACTTTGTATAATGCTTTTCTAAAAAACAAAACAAATGAACAAACAAAACAGACATAGATTCATAGATATAGAGAACAAACACAATTGTCAGAAGGGAAGAGGTTTGGGGAATGGGTGAAATGGGTGAGGGGGATTGAGAGGTACAAATATCCAGTTATAAAATAAATAAGTTACAGGGATGAAAAGTATAGCATAGGGAATATAGTCAATAATATTGTAATAACTTTGCATGGTGACAGATGGTAACTAGACTTACCATGGTGAGCATTTAAAAATGTATATGTCAAATCACTATATTGTACACATTAAGCCAACTATACTTCAGTAAAAAATGTAAGTATTA